TTGACGTCATTCACCTTCTTTTCGATCAGGTGCACTCTATTTAAAAAGTTCTGTGAAAACATAAATTTGAACCTTTCGTTTAAGTAAAGCCATGTAAAAACACGTATTTTAGACGTCGAAATGAGAACGTCTAAATTAGGTTATTTAAAGACGTCATTTGGCGTTTCCATTTAGAACTAGTTCTGAACGTCCTAAATTCACGTCTTTTAGACGTATAAAAACGTCTTTATTCCGTTCTAAAAGACGTCCTAATTACGTCTTAAAAAGACTGGCGTTGCCATTTAGAACCAGTTCCGGACGTCCTAAAAAAACGTCCTTTTGACGTCATATGGACGTTACCGTGTCCACTGGGTGAGAATTTAATTTTTTCTCTACATAATATTAAATAAATAATTCTCTACATAATATTAATATTACATAATATTAAATAAATAATTCTCTACATAATATTAATATAAAGTTTCTCTACATAATATTATATATACATATATAAAGTTTCTCTTCATACTGCTACTAAGTTTAAAAAAAAGTATACATTATTTAGTTATAAATTTTTAAAAAGGCATTCAAAAATATACATTATTAAGAAATAAATAAACAAATCATTTCAAATATTTTAGTTAGATAAATTCTTTTCTTCCGATTACCTTTTCCAATCATTCTCATATATATATATATATATATATATATATATATATATATATATATATATATATATATATATATATATATATATATATATATATATATATATATATATATATATATATATATATATATATATATATATATATATATATATATATATATATATATATATATATATATATATATATATATATATATATATATATATATATATATATATATATATATATATATATATATATATATATATATATATATATATATATAAATGGCATTGCACTGTTGACTATAATTATTATCAGGTGATAAAATATATTTTAAAGTTTCTATAATAGTAATATCGGGATTAGTATTTCTTGTGGATTTGAAATTGGATTTTAGCATTAAAAAGAACTTTTCGATTGGGTTCAATTCAGGGGATTATGGGAAAGACTGAAAAGCATTTCAGTCTTTATTAGTAAAGGTCAAAAAGTTCACGTTTTTAAAGTCTGACTAAAAAATAGTAAAATTTATATTGAGATATAACCTTCAAAATTAATATTAAAAGCCGTATAAACACATTAACAAACAATCATCATTTAATTTGTTAACCATGCAATTTTCACAAAGTGAAAAAAGCTTCCCACAATAGAATTACAAATATTAATTAGTAAAAATATTGTATCCAAAAATGTTGTTTCAGATTTTGTTTGGCAGAGCATTTTTGGATACAATAATCTTCAGTGTGATAAAAAAAAGATGGCGTATAATAAAATCAAAATTTTTATATTTGCATCAATTTTGGAAAACTTACCAAGTTCTTAATAAATATTTTGTTTAATCCTGATAAGTACTTATTAAGTACTTATTTACTCAGCGAATCATCAGATTAATCAAAACTTAATAAGTATAGCCTTATAAGGCAAAAACTTAACAAAATTAGTCGCAATAGCATTTTGAAAGCGGTATTGTTGTGCAAAAAACACAATATAATCTTGATTTGTCTACCATAGCATTCTTCACATATTCTACAACCATTGGATAGAGGTGTCCATTGTCATGTCAAACAAGCCTGGAAAAATAAATTCTTACCAAGTATTACAAAGACTCAAAATGTAAGAATTTAAATGAACAAAATTTTCAATCTTGCTCAAACTGCTGTACGAGAGTTGTATATGTTTTACACGCTTGCATGCAATCGCTGGTTTCCATTACACTGGCTTATTTCCACTTAATAAAAACAACATAAATCATAATGCATTAGCAATCACACAAACGTTTTATCCGCGATTATCATCTTTAGCAATCTTCTCATCTCCTATACCATTTTGCTCAGTCACAGCGTCATCATCTTTAGCATCCGCCGCAGCACCTACTCCATCTACACACTGGTTACCATCTTTATTAACTTCGCTAGCATCGAGTTTTAATAGGTATCAAGCATGCGTTGAGCGTTCCAAAAACAGTATCAAGATAGAGTTAAAGCAATTTTTCAGACCAGAAACTTTTTTCTTAACTTGTTAAGAAAACTTAACTTGTTAAGAAATCGAAGCAGTGCAACGTGAAAAAATATGGCGGAAAATGTATTACCGAAGAAAATATGATAGAGTTCCTCAAACAGAAAGATGAAGAAAAAGCTACAAAGGAAGCTGTATAACTTATGTAAAGCGTAGACTCTCTCTTAAAATACCCATTAGAGTTGCAGCAAATGTTCTAAATATAATGAATTTTTCATTGTTGCTAGTAAGTTTAAATGCACGTTTTCGCCACACCACGATTATTTTGCCTTAATCACCAGAAATTCTGTTTTTTGCATTGCTTGGCGACGCATTAAACAATCAATTATTTCTGGCGTATAAGATGCGGCTCTGTTAGATTCTAAGTTGTCCACTTTTCTAGTTGAAATTTTTACTGACCATCTCTTAATAAAAACCAATAAAAACCATAAAAAAAGCAGTCTTTGCTAGGCTTGCCATTTTTGAATAAATGCAATTGATCTTCGCGTTTAAGATAGCCAATTACAAATTAGAGGCGTTCATTTCGGTTAAATCATAATCCCAGTCACCAAATGATTAAAATGCATTATTTTTTTGTTTCATTATTTTTTTTAGCCATGGAAACCATTGTTTTTGTTATTTTTGCGATCTTTTAGTGTTGAGCCTGGAACACCATATTTGAATTCAGCTTTTCTCAGTGACATATGGTTTACTTTAATATCAGTTAATGCGGCTAGTATATCATCTTCCTTGTACGCTTTTGGTTTAATGGTTGACAATTTGAAGTTAGAGAGTTGAGTAGAATTGAGTGAGTAATGATTACATTGAGAAATAACATAACAAGTGACAAAAATGCTGATATATTCACGCAATGCATAAGCCAAGTCAAACCACACTTTATATAACAATTTTGGTCTATAAAATGAAATCGTAATCAATTTTCGTGCAATTCGCAAAAAGAAATTGCTTGTTTAGCAATCGCTGATTGCTATTCTGAATTAGCGTTATTTTTTTTTTCATTTTTTTTTTTTTTTTTTTTACAATTAAGGTTTACAATCAATTGTATAGGCATAAATTGCCTGTCAACTTTGTCCCATATAATATTTGAAAACTATAAAAATTTTATAACTAAAATAAAATAAATGCAGATTAGTCATAGAGAAGCCATTCATTTTTTAAATGATTGTCTAGGAGTAGCTTAAATGATTTAGTGATAAAGCGGTTACAATCTCGTTAGGAAGAGAGTTCCATTTATTAACTTATTAAATTATCATCTTAAGATGTTAATTTTTCTATAGAATTGTTGATGGAAGCGTAATTCATATAGTATATTGTATAGTAATTTATTTATTTAATATAATAATAAAATGTTTCAAACCCTAATTATTGTTTCGTTATTGTTAATATTAAACATAAACTACTTTATTAGAAAAATGCCTAATATATTATCTAACAAAACAGTAAACAGCAAAGAAAAACGAGACCATTCATTGAATCAGAAAAATATTTGTTGCTGTTGTTTGAAGAAATGCTTAAAATGTATTCCAGTAACGAAGTTATTAGAGGCTTACATAAAAATTTATGTAATACCTGAATATTGAATATCTGTGTACAGTTATTCAACAGGTATATTCCATATTATGATTGACTAATTCAATTGTTTTATTAAAAATTACTTTCTAAAAATAACCATTATTTAAAAATGAATTTACTTTATGTAGGCATTTGTCCAACATGCAAAAAGTATGTAAACTTACTGAAGGAAAGTAAAGACATACCAAATGCAGTTAAAACTCGATGGCAATCTTCCCAATTATCTAGATGTGTAAGCACTAGAAATTGTGAAACGTGCACAGTTTGTTCAAAGGCTAAATCAAGATTTCCACATATGAAAAAAACAAAGAAATTAGTAAGTTCTAATAGGATGTGTAACGTTTGCTTATGTGCGATCAAAAAAGGAATTCAACATCAATGTACTGAAATGAATGTGTATACAAATCTTTCTGCTAACTTATTTAATGCTTCGGAAAAGAAACTTAAGCATGGAATCCAGACCCATCTATTTACTGGTAATTTGTTTATTAGATTTATTTGTGTTTTCGAATTGATTAAATCATCTAAAGTATTTTGTTATTCAGGTGGGAATTACCTATAACTATTACCTATAACCATTACCTATAACTATTGGTGTTCCTCAATTAGTTATTAGGAAAGCCAAGTTTGAAGACACTGAAACTATGATTAATTGACTTGGACTTATCACACATCCTTCTGAAATCCTTAAGGAAAAGTGGAATACAATTTGAGGCAAATCTTGTAAAAAAACTTTACCAAAAAAGTAAACTCTTATCTGAATTTTATGATGTGAAGACAATTTTTGCAGAAGGAAAAAAAAAAGTTGTCAACCAATGTGTCAAGAGACCTTGTTTATGTTTTTCAATTAACAGAGCTGCTTAACTTTGTAATGACTTACAAAAAGTAAAACCCTTACCAAACATTAATACGAATTGGAATTGATTCAGGTAAAAACATTATTAGATAAAGAGATAGTATATAACCTATATATAATATAGAACTTAATAATATATATTTTTTAATATAAAATTAAAATTTTGTAGGAGGCGGATCACTTAAGGTAATTTGTAACCTCTTTGATCCAGAAAAAGAACGATGCGAAGATCAAAGTTTTCACGGAATATACTCTGGAATTAACTATTCCATAGTTCTTGCATATTGTGACAAGTTGCAGGAGACACACAAAAATTTAGCCATTTTATTATATCTTCTAAAGCTAGAAGATTGTAAATATGTTCTTGCAGCTGATTTGAAAATAATTAATATTCTTCTAAGAATTTCAGTAAGTTATTATTTAAAAATAATTTATTATGTAACTTTTAATTAGTTAATTAGGATTTAAAAAAAACATAAGAAAATTTAGTCTCATGGTGGTATGTATGCTTGTGCTTGGTGTGAAGGAGAATGTGAACTTTTTGGTGGGTTGACAAGAACATTTTTATCATTGGATCTATGGCATCGGAGATATATGGAAGCTGGTTATCGAAGTTCTGAAATGAAAGATTATAAGGTGTGAATGTTAACTATTATTTAATTAAAAAATTTAAAAATCTTTTTATTAAATAAAAAAATAATTTTTTTAAAATTGGTAATCAAATTAATAAACTTTGATAGAATGTGGTGAATGTATGCCCAATAAAGGAGAGAAACAAGTCAAAACTAGTTCTTGAAGTCATTCCTTTGCCGGAGCTTCATATGTTAATGGGATTTGTAAATCATATATCAACTTATATAATTTTTTATTGGCCTGAATACAAGGACTGGGTCAACTCACTTGGATGTATTAGAAGAGGATACCATGGGGGAACATATGAAGGCAATACATGTAGGATTATTCCTAAAAACTGTGAACAGCTTTCACTAAGGCTACCAATTGAACTCTTATCACTTCTATGTCCAATGAAAAAATTTGAGAAATTAGTTCAAGGAACCTTCGGAAGTTACCTTAACCCTTGTTATCTTCAACTAATAACTGACTTTGGTTGTTCGTACAAAGCCACACAGGAGTATTGTTCAGAGGTACAGTTAATTATAATGAACTTGCTTTAAATTGACTTTTAATATACTATTATTATTATCTATCTTATAGAATATTTTATTAGTTTCTAGAAAAGAAACTTACTTTGACCTGGAAAATACATATAATCTCAGCTCACTTGCAACAATTTATTGAACTTACTGGTCATTCTCTTGGACGATACAATGAACAGGCATCTGAATCGGCTCATTCAAAAATGAAGCCAATAATTGCACGATTCAATGTTTCACAAATAAGCTCAAAGCACTCTCTTAGAAGCAGAAGAATTGCTGAATCGTTCAGCAGAACTAATTTATAGATTAAAAGTTTTAGATATTTTGATATATGTTTATAAATTTAAAACATTAAATACAAATAATTTTTTTAATCGTTAGCTAACAGTATAAAAAAATCTTAGTTTTTTCTAACATTTGCATTTTATGCAAATGTTAGAAATATGATTAACTATTGCAACATGAATAGTTAACCAGGTATATAAGTTAGGATAATAAGAATTGTCTTTTTAACAGAGTTTAACATTTTTTCTCCCCTTCAAAAAAAAATTCCATTCCATTTCAAGGCCAATACAACTTTTTTAGTGTTTGAGATAACTAACTTCTAGACATGTCGGAAACTCCAAACATTGATATTTTCATGTTTATGCAAAATTTGTGATGATTAGAACTTGGGAACAAAATAACCACTAAAGGTTAGCCCCTTATCCATAACAAGTAAAAAACAATTTAAAAAAAAATCACTAGTATTAACTCAGTTTAAATTCATTAACAAATTTCAAGTTTCATGGAATAATCTTTTAGTGTTCTGTTGTTATGACCCACCAAAGTTTATTGTCACCTCAAATTGAGGGGGATTCGAACTTTATATGGTCATAATTTTTGAACACTCAAATATTATTGCATGGAATTTGAAGTTCATTGATGATTTTAAACTGAGTTAATAATAATGAAATTTTTTTAAATACAAACTTGTTGTGTTTGCGTTATGGAGAGGGGGGCTAACGTTAAGGTTTTTTTTTTTCCTAAGCTCCAATCGTCACATATTTTTGAAAAGTATCCTTATTTGACATAAACATGAACATATCAATGTTTAGAGTATCTCAAACACTTAAAAAATTTGTCTACAAATGGCTTTGCATTAGAAATTTTTTTTTTCAAACTACTTTTTTCAAAAACGGCTACCATTTGATTTTTAAGCTTCTAGTATCCTGAAGAGCCACAGATAAAAGTTCCATAAAAATATTTGGGGAACTCTGACCTAAAACTTAAAACCTATTTTTGTGATGTGTGCCTAAGTGTATTACAGAACATTTATCAATGTTAAATTTCATTCCCCATTTTTGAGACCATAAAACAAGAGCGTCAATGTTATTTTGTAATTCTTGCGCAGATTGGGTACTTTCAATAGATCGGAAAATTTTGGTATCATCAGCAAAAAGAGCAGCTTTTGATTTGATTGATTCAGGGATATCGTTGACATATATAATAAAGAGTAACGCTGAAAGGACAGAGCCTTGGGGAACTCCACTTTTAACAGAAACCCAGTCGGAATAATTACCGTTTATAATAACTCTTTGTCTACGGTTTTCCAAAAAGCTTGTTATCCAATATAGTATTGAACCATTTATACCATAAGCTTTAAGTTTAGAAATAAGAAATTTATGTGGAACTTTTTCAAAGACTTTTTCAAAATTGAGATAAATGTTGTCGATGGAAATATTCTTATCAAGTGATAATGTCCAATAATTAATTACAGTTAAAAGGTTAGTTAAGCAGGAATGACCTGGGCGAAATCCATATTGGTGTGGACTTAATAAGTTATTGTTAATCAGGTGTGTCATAATATGTTTTTTTATAATTTTTTCAAAGATTTTTATTGAGGTACAAGTTATACTGATAGGTCTATAATTAATTACTTTAGATCTGTCTCCTTTTTTGAATATGGGTGAAATTGTTGCGTCTTTCCATATCTGGGGTATTGATCCACTCTCAAGGACTTTGTTGAAAATAGTAGAAAAATGTTTAGACATTTGAGAGCAAGTTTTTATAAAAACTATTGAGTGTAATTCGTCAGGGCATGGTTTAGATGCGTTTAGATTTTGGAGGTATGTTTCTATATTTTTTGGACTTTAATCAATATTGTTTGAAAGTGGGTTTACACTTTTATATGTTGGTTAAATGTCGGTATTGTTGTTATTTGTTGGTTAAATGTATTAGCAAAATAACTATTGAATCTCGATCAGAAGTTGCAACAATGTTATTATATTGGATATCAGGGAATGTCTCTTTTATCTTTTTGATTTGACATACGAGAAAAATGCTTTTGGATTTTGATTGATGTTTCTTGCGATTTTTTTTTCAAATTCAATAATTGCTTTTCTACACACTGCTTTTGTTTTGTTTCGTGAAATGCAATACTCATTATATGTTTCTTCATTTCTGTTTAGTGTATATTGACGATATTTTTCTTGTTTGTCTTCAAGATTATTTGATCTTGATTAGTCAATCCATTTTGAACGTTTTGTATTTTTAATGTTAGATTTTGGTATGTTATTGTTTATACTAGTTTTAAGTTTATTGAAAAATATACTCCATAATTTGTTCGAGTTGGATGATGGACAAAATTTTAATATTTTCAAGGTCTTCATTAGTTTTATCATAGTTCCCTTTTGAATATAAATGTTTTGTAAAGTATGGCGGTATATTTATAATAGATTCAATTGATACAGTAAAGTATAGTAATTGATGATGACTTTTGCCAATGGGTGCTAAATGAGTTAAAAGGGAAACCATGTTTTCATCTAAAGTAAATAAGAGGTCAATTGTAGTTGGATTTTGATTTTGTCTTATGTGTGTTGCATTTGAAATATGTTGGGTTAGAAAAGAATCACGAATATTTTTAGTAAACTTAATTGATTTAGTGGCATTTGTTATAGGTTGTTTTGGATTTTGCCAACTGATATCTGGGTAATTGAAATCTCCGATAATAAGAATGTTTGGATACTTATTAGAAAGTTTGGCAATGTGGTGATTTATACAGTTTGTGTTTTCATCGTTACTGTTTGGTGATCTGTAATATAAGCTTAATAACAACTTAGAAGTTTTTGTTGTTATTTCACAACTGAGCGATTCGGATGGAAATATATAAAGATTAAATAAGGACGACTTTAGTTTGCAATGTATAAATATTGCTAAACCTCTTTTGCAGGAATTATTGCTGTGGTTTGTATATAGTAAGTAATTTTCAATAGCAAACTCGAGATCATTAATTTCAATTTTATTTGTTTTTAGGTAGAGTTTCTGTTAGAAAAATAATTTGGGGTTTCAGATTATTTACAACTTGTTTGAGCTCATGGCGTTTATTTAATGTCAATGTTTGTGTAGATAGCTTTTAAGGATTTAATTTCAGAAATTTTTTTACTGGTTTGTAAATTAATCCAACTTTTTATAATAGTTTTTTTATACTTTTCGTTTACTAAAATTGAGTTTGATGACTTTGTTGCGCCTAATGCACCATCGAAAGGGTGAGTTTGGTTCAATTTCTAGGAGTAATTGGGTTTTTTTTTATTTCTTTCCTTTCTAAGTTGAGAATCGATTTGCCTTTCGGCGATAATCATATCCGGATTAATGAAGACATTTGTATAGTTTACGTTTGTGCGTAATTCCCTTGATGCAAGTAAAACTTTATTACGTTCGCAGTTTTCAGGAAATACGATAATAATAGAAGGAGGAGTTTTTGTGTCTTTTTTGTTTTTTAATCTTATTATTTTATTAGGTTTTTCATAGCTTTTTCCAATTTCCTCAAATATCTCTTAATTATTTTTTTGTCGTCGTTGTTTTTTTCAAGTTCATTTAAATTATTTGATTCTGGAATTCCAAAAACGATAATGTTCTTTTCACGCCTTTTTTTCTCTTCCTGTTCAGATAATATAGTTTTTGTAATTGAGTTTACAACAATAGCTTTTTCTGCAGATCTATTTTTATTATTAAGATTTAACCAAAATGTAGCTGAACTATTTTCGGTTTCTTTTTTCGATTCTAATAATTCAATTATTTTTATAAGACGTTGAATGGTTTCATTCTGATCACTTATAATATCGGATAGTTCCGAACAACTTAGTTTACCTTGTTTAATCATGAATATTGTGATTTCGTCGTGTCGATTTTAGTGAAATTAGGATTATATAAAAATAATAATAGTATAAAACAATAATAATAATAAATAACAAAAAATTTATTAAGCAATTGACAGCAAGAAAAATATAAAAATAGAGCAAAAGTAATTAAACGTAAAAAATACAATAAAAATACATATGCGAAAACGTTATAGACTTTATATAAAAAAGAAAACCTTAAACACAAACTTTTTTTTTTTTTTTTTTTTTTTTAACAAAAATAAGGATATATAAAGCTGTAAAAAAAAAACAAAAAAAAAAACTAGAAATATAAGCTTGGAAATAGAGAATATAATAGTTTAGGAAAACAAAATATTAATAATAGATTTAAGAATTTATAATAGATTTAAGAAATTTAAATCTAAAAACACGTCTTATCACTTTGAAAGCGGAAGTCCAGTTATAAAAGTTTGTCCAGAGGGAATTGTTTTGTGTAACAATCATTACACCTTCCTTCTTTTAAAAATGCATTTCGTAATCAATGTAATGTTTTGGCTTCCTCGAAATTCTTCCTGACCGCGTGACAATAATGTCGTGGTCTGATTCATCTTGATTTGTATTTAGATCAATGTTTGTGTTATTCGACAGTTTTCTTTTACCCATGAATATGTCTTTTGATTCATATCGCTTTTATTATACGATAAACTGACATCCCAATCTACTTCTTATTTTGTTTTTAGCAGATGTCTTCTGTTTCTTCTAACAATATTTCCATTTAGGGTTTTTACATTGAAACTTCGTTGCTGTTTGCTCTTAACAATTTTTCCAGGTTGCCATTTAATTTTATCATGTATACAAACACAGTCTCCATCGCCAATGTTTTCGCGTTTTTGTCATAATATTTCTTCTGTAAGTTTTGAACTTTTTCACGATTTATTTATTTACGTCGATTGGATTTACTTGAAGTAGTGGCAGAGAAGTAGGAAGTGTTTATCTCAATCTTCTTCCACTGATGAGCTGAGAAGGTGATGTAAGACCGTCAACACGAGTGTTTTTTACCTCTAGTAGAGGTATGTACAGATCTTGATTTGACCTTTTGCTTTGGTTGCAAGTTTTTTGCTATTTGCACATGTCTCAGCCATTCCATTTGATTGTTGATTCTG